CGTGCACTCGCACGCAGGCACGCACGGGTACACGCGTACGCACATGCGTGTGCAGGCAGGCACAGACACATGTGTGTGCACACCGGCACGTGTATGCATCCACACGCAGGCCTGCACATGCACACAGAAGTGCACGCGTGCATGCACATACAGGCACAGGCACATGCATGCACACACAGGCCCACACATGCATACATGCACAGGTACACGCATAGGAACACCCAGGAATGCGTGCACGTAGGAACGGATGCAGAGGCACAAACAGGATGCGTGCACAAACAGGTGGGCACATACATGCACACACACACACACACGTCATGCGTACACACATGCATTCCTGTGCATGCACATACAGACACACATGTGCACAGCTTGCACGGGCACGTGCACACACACACGTGTGTACACATGCACAGACCCATGCGCATGCACACAGGCACAAATGTGGAGCTTGCACAGACATATGCACATGCACAGAGAGACATGCATGCTTGTGCACCCAGACGCACACAATAGACACGTGGCTGCACACGTACGCTCACACACACAACACGCACGCTCACAGCTGCATGCACAGACACACGCACGCAGGCCACCACGCACAGCCCACGCACGCACGAGGCACACAAATACCGAACGCCCTCCTCCCCGGGCTCACGCAGACCAGCCCTCACCAGGGCTTGCGCACGTTCCCCCACGGGTCAGTGGCTGCTGTTATGTGGCTTTTTCCTGCTTCAGGGATTTTCAGCGTACAAACAAACAGGCACCATGTCCATCTGTTAAATAAATCCCTGAGCAAGGGCGTCCGAGCGGCGCTGCTCTGCCCTGGCTCGCAGCCCTTACACCGCCCGCACGGGGAGTCGCTCCCCACCTACTGCCTGTCCCTAGCAGGATGAGACACCATACTGCCAATCTAAAGCAATTGGTGGATTTATGATTGTGTTTGGGTTGCTGGGGGGCTTTATTTTGTCTTCTTCCTTTTTTTTTTTTAAATCATAAATCAACCAGGTAGCTGCTGGCTGATTTTAAGGGAGATTTCTAGTAATAGCTAGAGGCCTGCGGCCTGCAAACCTTCATGCCACTTTAACATAATGTCTCCTTGCTCTAACCATTGGATTTTGCATAAAACACAGGCACTCGGTGCTGTATGCATGTATTCCTGGTCTCAGAAATAAGATATTAACTGCAATGCCACTTGCAACAATTTCTTCTAATTTGCAATAATTTTCAATATAGTTTTCATAGACTGCTGCTTTTCAGTGTCTCCATACCTATGCTTAAATCCAGCACCAGGGTTGGATTTAAACAAAGTGACTATTTGTTATCTCGGGAAACACCCGTCTACAAAAGTTGTATCATTTCAACTGCACTCCTAGCCTAAAATCAGAAGAACTACTGCTTCTGTGAAGAGAAAGGAAATGAGGTACAGTTTACATGAGGTAAAACATCTGATGCAAAGCCTTAATGCCTAGAGGAGCCTGGTGCAGACCTAGAAGTCCGTCCTCAGCGCTTCTTGCCATGCCCAAGTACCCTGAGATATAACACGATGAGGAGCTACAGCTCCTAAATTTGTGAAAACCAGTTCTGGATGTTCATTTTTTCTGAAATGTCCTGGGCTCCTGGGTAGAAGCCAGCCCTTTCCATTAACATGCACACATATACATACACATGCAAACATACATATCCTGGTGTGCGAGAGAGCTTTAATCGTCCTGTTTGTAGAACAGGAACATAGTGAGTGGTCTCCACGCGGCACTGCTGGCCCGGTACCCAGACCGCTCTCATCTGTCACGCCGACGGCTCGCGCTCTCCTCTGCGCAGCGAGCAAAACGCTGAGGGTAAGGAGCAAACGCACAAAGGTCAAGTGGTAAATGAATAACAGGGAGAAAGGCAAGGCAGAGATGGGAGAGAAGTCTGCTTGGTGGAGAAAAAAAGCACCCTTGTGAGAGCTGCTTACGGAGAAGAGGAAAAAGAGGACTCGAGAAAGACGGGAGGTGACTTTCAGAAGGAACTTGCTGCGGCGGGGCTCGCGCTTGGCGAGGCGTTGGCGCTCATAAGGCACCGGTTTATATTTAGCTCAGCTCAGCGGAGGTCGAGCACCCTGCGCTCGCTGCCGGTGGGTGCCCGTGCCGTTTCGGAGGGAAGGGAAAAGTTTTGGGGTGGCTACTCGGCTTTTTTGAGCTTTTGGGTTGCTATCAGTGCTCAATATTTACCAGCAGCCATGCACCCTTATTATGAGATTTTTTTTTAGGTGAAAGCGCTGTAAAGGTCACACGGATTTATAAGCCACAGGTCTTGCCCCAGGAGACCGCGCCTGGCCCGCAGACGACACCAGAGACGACACCAGGGGGAAAACCTCGCGGAGCGGTAGTGGAAGAAGCGCTGCGGGCTCCCAGATGGCAACGTTCGTCCCCTGCTGGCCCAAGCCAGGCCCTTCGCTCTGGCTGCTGCAGACAAGTGAAAGGGGACGTCATTGCGCTGAAGTCCAGCGGAGCGGCTCTGGCAGCCAGACAGGGACTTCGCCGTTGCCTTTAAGCACGAGGAATTCATCCCCCGTGCAGCCGGCAATTCAGCTCAGCAGAGTGAAGACAGCCTTGAGTCTCTGAGGTTAGCTGCCTATCCAAGAAATGAAGTATTAGCGGAGGTAATGCGTGGCCTGAAATGAGGCCCCTGCAGTGAGGGTTGTATAAATCCTTCCTAATTGCCAGCGGCGAGGGGCCCTGCGCTGGATGTGCTGCTGCTTTTCCAAAGGAGGCAGGGATGGGGTGACAGCAGATGCTGGAAATGAAGATTGCCCCTTGCGTGCCTCCATGCGACACAACCAGATGAACTCTTCATCTTCCTCTTGGGATTCCCTTGTGCTAAATAAGGGGCAGAGAAAGCAAGCTGTGCTACCTGTGCCTTATATCCCTTAACTATTATGTTTCCTGCCTACAAAACACCATTCTTGAGGATCACTTAGTCACAGCCTTTCCATGGGCCTGAAAGCCCTGTCGCCTTCAATAACTCAGGTCCCACAGAGGCCCTTGGACTTGTTTTTTGAGTATGATTGCATCATTCTGCTGGAACAGAGACTGGAAAACCCTGGGGCTGAAATGGACTGATCTTTGGGCTTGCCCTCTTATCACTTGCATTTTAAAGCCATGGTCAAAGTAAGACATAATTAACCCAGCGTATCTGACCTAGCAGGCATTTGAAGTGATGTAACTTCAACTCAGTCCTTTGGCTTCCTTGTTATCAGTCAAAACAAATACATTATCAAGAGATACTTCAGGTGTTTTAAAGATCGGTTTGCACTGTCTAAACCTTCTCATCTCCAATGTGGACGGCAGGATGGGTTAAACACACCTGCGTCATCTCTAGATATGTGGCACGTCACTGGCTAGGGTCTAGATTTTCAGTGATGACTCCTCTCTCTGCATCAGCCAAAGCAAAATGCTGGTCCCACAGCCCCAAGGCACGGCCACAGCCTAGTTCAAGGGTGGCTCTCTCCGTCCACTGCAAACTTCCACAAACTGTAGCCTTGATCCTGCAGTAATATCCTCGTTGTGAAACAACGACATCTCTTTCTTGTGGTCTAAGGTTGGGGTTGTTACTTATTAACATTACTACAGTTACATTTCTATTGGATGTAACTCATTATAAACTCATTACTGGATATGAACCCATTGAAACTTTGTATCTGCAGTAAATTCAGAAGCTGCAAGATCTCAGGCACAGCTTTCCAACATACCAGCAGGACCTTTGAAACAGCTATAAGTCACCCATTTCCAGATTTCACACTGGAGTCAACCGGTGGAACAGGACCACAAAATTCAGTCTCCCCATGGGCAACGCGCAGACACAGCAGTGACTCTTCCAGATCCTCAGTGTCCCTCAGTCCTTTGGACGAGGCAGCTCCCCGTAAACTGAAAGACCAGAGAAACTTGAGCCTAGATGTTGATCAAGCTGGGCTGCTTTATGCTTAAAAACGAGGTAAATTTGCTTGGAATTTTGGGGGGAGCTAGAGTCGGGCTGGAGGGTAATGAAATGCAATAAAAAGCAAAGGAACAAAAGGCAAAGGTCTGCACCTCGGGGACTTGTTATGAATAATTATTTGTATTAAGAAAACTCTCTCCTTCTCTTTCCAGTTCTTCACCATGATGTTTGCCTGTGATTGAAAGTGGGAGCGTAGAGAAGCAGAACTTGGGCACCATGTGGCTTTGCCTTCCCAATATTGCCTTCCCCCACAACACAGCCCCGTTGCTGGGGTTTTGCAGAGATGGAGAGATGGAAAAGGTTTGTCTCCTGGTTTTTTTTTTTTTTTTCCCATGGCAGTGGGCAGTGATAGGCAGCAATTGCATGCTGAAAAAAGACAGTGATTATTTTCGTTCTTTCTTAAACAGTATATGCTGTCCTCCAGCTAAAGATGCAGCTCACTTTGTTGCTTCCTGTTGTAAAAAAATCTATTTTTACCATCTGAGGACCAAGCTCTGTCCCAGCTACTCAAGAGCAACGCTGCCACTCTCTACCCGCTAAGAGAAATTGTGCTGGTGAGCAGAGAATGGCACTCAAAAATCTTCTTGTCAAATTTTGTTCCTGTCCTGCATGAAACAAAGGAGAGTTCAGAATAAATCTCTGGGTCCTTAAAGCATCCTTTGATCAGTAAAAATTCACTTTCCCTCCACTCCTTGCACAAGCAAACTCTCAACAGGTTGTGTGTGCAGTGGAACAGTTGATTCACCTTTCATAAATGCTGGGTGGTCATCAGAGCTAGAGACAGGTGCTCAGCAGGTCACTTAAACTGCAATAATGGCAATTCCTGTTTTCCTTCTCTTTCTAAAGCCCTTATGCAAGCCATACTTTGGCTGGGAGCGTTCCCCACCCGGCACCAGCTCCCCTTGCGTTTGCTGCAGGCTGGGATCACACCCAGCTCAGCTGCTCTGTCCAGGAGCAGGGCAAGCTCCAGGTGCCTCTGCCGCACCCGGAAAGGTGAATTTGGCCACTGAAGGAGGAGGATGACAGGCATTAGCCCAGGAGTGCTGGGCTTGCTGGACCTGCTACCTTCGGGGCAGGAGAGAAAAATTTGTGGCCTAAAGGCTGTTAGCTTCATGGGCACGTCCGTGCCTGGGGTTACAGGGCTGGAAAGCGAGGGAGCTAGTAGGGAGGATATTCCTCCTGCCCCTAAGAGAACAAGGTTTATAAACACGAGTCCTTCTGTGGGCAGGGACCATGGATCCAGCCCAAACCTGGCACGCTCTGTCACCCAGACGGCTCCAGGTGTCACCTTTTGGAAGAGGGGCGGGCTGGAAAGCTGCTCCTGGCTGCCCAAATTGCTATTTTCAGAGGGGCTGTTGGCCCTCAAAGAGACGGGCAGCACGGTGCGTAAAGCTGGGACGCAGGAGGGGGTGAAATTTTAACGGCGCAGTGGAAAACTGCCCGTGGTCTCCGTTAATGGTTAGCTTCAGCTAAAATGTGTTCATTGAAAGGTTTATGCATTTCTCCCGGCCTCTCCTCCAACTGCAAAGTGCCAGCACCATCTTGCGGCCAGAGGCTTGGCTGAAAAGGAGGACGAGAGCAGTGGAGAAGGGCTTGCTAGCCTGAAGGCTTGTCTGTCCCTGCTACCTTGCTTGGTGCATGAAAAAAATCTTCTCTCTTCCTGCGTGCCTTGCTTCAGATAAACTGGAACCATTTTGAGTAGCCCTACAGGAGAGCCACCAAAAGCCGTGACCGTTTATTGTGCAGTTGTAGCAGAGGTCTTGTCATGAAATGCAAGTGGGATGGAAACCCCAAAGAGATTTCCTTTGTATGTGGGGGAAGCATCATTAAATATGATTTAATATGTCAACAGCTAGAGCCAGTTAGTCTTGGCTGAAATCTCTGGCAAAATTCCCACCAACTACAGCAAAGTCCCAGGTCCCAAGCAAACAAAGTGCCTTGGTGGTACCAAAGCTAGGCTTTCCAAAGGAAAAATCACCCAGAATCAATGTGGTTTGGGCCTCCTAATGCCCTAGGCAGCTTTTAAAAATCTCAGCTGAAAGTTGGATGTTTAATTACTATCCAAAGTAAATCACTGAACCCTTTTCTTTTTTTTCCTTTTTGCTTATTTTTCTGGAAAAGAGTTTTTGCCTAGGATAGCATATTTAGCTTGCAGCTAAATTCTAAAAGGAAAGGTCTTGCTTTGAAAAGAATAACTTACTGTTACATATGTGCAACACAAGCCCTACATGTTTTATAGGAATGATATATAGGCCCAGATCCACAAATCTCTCTGTAGGGACCTTTACTCCTATTAATTTCAGAACAAGTTAGGCACTGAAATACCTGCCTGGATTTGACCCCTAGTTCCCACCATGTTCAGCATTCCACTACTTGAGAGGGAATTAATCCCCGTCGCTATAATATTGTCTTAAATTTGTCCCAAGTATGAACCATTGAGAAGAAAAAGAAAAGGAGAGTCCGAGATGTAGGAGTTTCCTGCTAGGACTTCTGTCACATGCAACTGTGTATTTTGGTTAATCTACCCCATAAAATGAACGATACAGATTAAAGACTTCTTCTGAGAAGTCCAACATCTTCTGAAGTCTCATTCGTGCAGCAGTCTCTTCCTCCCAGCTACACCCAAGGGTTGATGGCTAAAGGACTGGCAGAAGTTCTCTAACATTTAACCTCATTTCAGAGGGCATGAGGAGAGCAGAAATGACACCCAGAAAGGGTATGGAGGAAGAAGATGCCTTGAGGCAAGGAGGGAGGAGCTGTCATAGAAAGCTGGGGAGCTCTTCTCTTCCTCCTCCATCTCCTCCTCACCCCACCAAGACAGGACCAACATTACTACTAATGTCGCTATAGAAAATGGTCTGCAGACAGCAGATGACAAAGCAATGACCAAAGTGGGAAAACAGTTGGGGTAAATAGCCCTCAAGCTGCTACCAGAGTGTTTCAGGCAAGACAAAAAGCAGAGAAAACACTCAGCTGGCATAGCTGTGTCCACTGCTCGTCAAAGTCAGGGTCAGCCCCTGCACTGCCTTCTCTTGAGTCGTGGGCAAAATTTCTGATTCCCCTCAGAGGTGTATTTTCCCCTTCCTCTTCCCCCCCC